TCGGGGGGGGTTTGGGGGGGGTTTTGGGGGATTTGGGAGGTTTTGGGGGGATTTTGGGAAAATCCGGGGCTCGGGGGAGCTCAGGTTTGGAGCTTTGGGGGCAGATTTGGGGTGAAAATCGGAGGTTTTGGGGTTTTCTGGGCGGGGGAGGGTCCGGGGAACCCCCAAAAAATCCCCAAAAAATCCCCAAAAAATCCCCAAAAAATCCCCAAAAAAACACCCAAAAATCAAAAAATAAACCCCCAAAAAAACCCCAAAAATCTCCAAAAAATCCCCAAATCCCCCAAAAATCCCAAAAATGCCAAAAAATCCCAAAAAATCCCAGGACGAGAAGAACGAGGAGATGACGACGAAAGTTTACCTGAACCTGGTGCGGGAATTTGGGGAAATTTGGGGGAAATTTGGGGGGTCCTGGGGGGAATTTGGGGTCTCCTCGTTTTGGGGTGGATTCCGGTGTTTTTGGCGTGGATTTTCGGGAATTTTGGGGTGGATTTTCCAGTTCTGGGCGGATTTGGGGGGATTTTGGGGGGGATTTTGGAGTGCGGATTTTGGGGAATTTTCGGGTTTTGGGGGAGTGGGTTTGGGGGAATTTTCGGGTTTTTTGGGGGTGGATTTGGGGGAATTTTCGGGTTTTGGGGGGTGAATTTGAGGATGGATTTGGGGGAATTTTCGGGTTTTTTGGGAGGTGAATTTGAGACTGGATTTTGGGGAATTTTCGGGTTTTTTTGGGAGGTGAATTTGGGGGAATTTTCGGGTTTTTTGGGGGGTGAATTTGAGACTGGATTTTGGGGAATTTTCGGGTTTTTTGGGGGGTGGATTTGAGACTGGATTTTGGGGCGGATTTCCGGCAATTCCGGCGTTTTTTGGGGCGGATTTTCGGGGAATTTGGGGTTCCGGGGGGGGGTCCCCATTAATTTTGGACCCCCCCCCCAGAGCTGGCGGGACCCTCGGCTCTCCTGGGACCCCCGCGAGCACGGGGGGGCGGCGGCGCTGCGCGTGCCCGCCGAGCACATCTGGCTGCCAGATGTGGGGCTGGACAACAAGTACGGGGGGGAATTTGGGGGAATTTCGGGACTTTCCGGGACTTTTCGGGAATTTTGGGGGAGTTTTGGGAGGTTTCCGGGTGATTTTACGGGGGGTTTGGGGAGGATTTGGGGGAATTTCGGGGATTTTCGGGAATTTCGAGGGGTTTTGGGAGGGTTTGGGGAGGTTTTTTCCGGGGATTTTGAGGTGTTTTTTTTGGGGTTTTTTTCCGGAGTTTTTGGGGTGAGTTTTTTTTGGGGTTTTTTGGGGGGAGGGTTGGAGGATTTTGGGGCATTTTTTCGAGATTTTTCGGGGTTATTTGGGGGGGATTTCGGGGTGTTTTTTTCGGGGTTTTTGGGGCGCTTTTTTTTGGAGTTTTTGGATTGTTTTTCGGGAACTTCGGGATTTTCTCTCGGGGTTTTTGGGGTGGTTTTTTGGGGGAATTTTGGGGTGGGTTTTTTTGGGAATTTTGGGATTTTCTCTCGGGGTTTTTGGAGTGTTTTTTTCGGGGTTTTTGGGGTGTTTTTTTCCGGAATTTTGGGCTTTTTTTTTTCGGGAACTCTGGGATTTTTTTTTCGGGGTTTCTGGGGTGGTTTTTTGGGGGAACTTTGGGGTTTTTTTTTTTTTCCGGGAATTTTGGGATTTTCTTTTCGGGTTTTTTGCGGCCGTTTTTTAGGGATTTTTGTCTGATTTATTTTTGCGGTTTTTTTTTTTAAATTTTCGTGTTTTTTGGGTGGGTTTTGGGGTTCCCTGACCCCCCCCGTGCCCCCCCAGCAATGACGGGGAATTCGGGGTGTCCCTGGGGGTCCGGGCCATCGTCAGCCCCGACGGCACCGTCACCTGGAGACCCCCGGCCCTGTTCCGCAGCCGCTGCCCCATCCGGGTGATTCTGGGGGAAATTCGGGCGATTTCGGGGATTTGGGGGGGTCCCGGGGGGATTTTGGGGGGAATTCGCGGGGTTCCGGGAGGTTTCGGGGGCCGATTTTTGAGTTTTTATTTTTTAAAGGGATTTTGGGGGATTTTGGGGTTTTTTTTAAAGGGATTTTTGGGGATTTTTTGGGGGATTTT